GCATATGTGAACGCCAATCAAATCGGAAACTGCTCCAAAAGCAGGAAGCAAACTAGCGCAGGACATTCTTGGCAAATGCAACCAAAACAAACATGCGAGTCGAGGAAACTGGTTGCTCCAAGGGTTTTGTTCATGTGAAAGTGAATTGCACCAGCTGAAAATGTAACAAACGTTGCAACTTTGACCAAAGTCCGGTAGACAATCAGGTGTGAAAACATCCCAAAACTTATTCACTGATTGAAACCTGTTTCAGGGTGAGGTGGCCGAACATGTGGTTTCAAACCAGCCAGGAGCAAAGGCTTCCTCCGACTTCGCCACATTCCCAGCGTCCTCTTTCATTAAGGTACAGCTACAGTAAACGCTGTTTGAAACAGATTTCCTCTTTGTGCATCTGGGTTAAACACTGATGTTTTTTCTCAGGCTAAGGAAGAGAAGCAAGGAGGAACGGTTTTTGTGGGTCGCGTTGCCATCCCGTGCACCCGCGGTCAGGAGCAAGTCCACCGCCTCGTCCTGTCGCAGCAGCAGCTGCAGCAAGTGCACAACCTCCTCATGGTCTAAAACCAGAGCTACCAGTGCTGAAGACCCTCCCACTCTACCCAGCACTTCTCCTTAGCATTCTTGTTTCTTTTCAATACTACGCTCAGGAATCTGTGTCCTGTTAAAGCAAAGTTTCAAGCACTAATACCTATTTAATACCAGACTCCAGAATGTCACGTTATGAAGATGTGTTCATTTAAACTTTGTGGCTTTGCCAACGTGTTCAAGTCAACTTTTGTCTCTTCAACCTTTGAATACATTTGTATTTGTAGTAATTCTGAATTAAAAGCATTTCACTTTAACAGCCTTTAGTAGTTTTTCTGCCTGGTTGATGGTAATGGAATACCAACAGTCAAGCTTTTAATCCAAATGGAAACATCTTCTGTGGCGTCATGAAACTAAGGCGTTTGACCAGAATAATCACTTTGAGGGAGGGGGAAGCCCAACTGAAGTAACAGTGACAGAATTGTGTTTTGCAAGAACTGATGCACTCCTAACATGACATGAGGACAGACTGAAAATATTTAACATTTGAAGATAATGAAATGTAAAGCACTTTGGAGTCCTCTGACAATCATATCAGTAAATTAGTTAAATAGTGGTGCAAGGACAACAGCCATTATTTCAACACTGCAGGAAACCTAAGGTCAAAGATGGAAGGTGTGAGAACAAGGCAGCCTACAAACGACTTGTATCGTTTTATCAGGAACAAAACAGCATTATGTAGTGAGAATTTTTATTTTATTTTTTTTTTAAACAATACAGTCTTGAAATTTAATAGAAAACCAACTCAAACTAAAAACTTACAAGCAAATATTAAAATGCTTGGCTCTTGGTGAAAAAACTAAAAACCCAGAGTACACAATTACAAAACGGCTGTCTTTATGGTAGAGAACAACGCTTTGTTCTCTACCTTTCAGGGATCCATGTCAGTATCCATGAAAGGGACGGTGATCTGGTTTGTGATAGGTGTAGGGGGCATAGTGAGGCCTGCTGTGACGGCTCCTCATCACAAACTGATGATTGAGGGGCTGGTGGTAATCTTCATAGGGCTCAAAGTAGGAGGAAGAGGGAAGCACGTCGTCAACACCTGTAAGATGTTCAGACTGAATTTTAGACCTAATATTTTTTAAACTGATACATTTAGGTATGAGTGAGCTGGAAGGGTAATGCAGACGCCTTGTACAGATCGTCAATGGTACCTTCACCTAGAAACACGATGAGGCTTTAAATGCCAAGTCTGAAGCAGTGCACACACTTACGATGTCTGGGCGGTACATAATGTTTCTGCTGAGGTCTGCGGCGTGGCCGGGGCCGCTGCGGCTGGACGGCAGGTTGGAAGTTCTCTGTGTTTTCGTGGCGATGTGGCATTGGCTCTCTCTTGTCTTCAAAGCTCAAGAAGGCACCAGACAAAGAATCGGAGGTGAACTCCTCTCTAAAGCTGTCTGAATTCACAGCAGCTGTTTGGTAGCCGTTTGGAGAGGAAAGAGGGGTGAGACAAAGAGGTGAAAGAAAATTACAAAGTGGAACAAGGAAGTGCAGAAGCTTCATTTATAAATACTCTTGTTTTAACATCAAACAAATATGATCATTAAGCTAGATGTCTTCCATCAGGTGCACTTCAACTTTTCTAAAATATGCAGTTTACAGTTTTATTTTGGAAATGCCAGGATGACCTTTAACGTCCATCTCTGAAGAACTAATCTCCTCTGTGCTAATCCAAAAATACTACAAAAAAATACAAAGCCATCATCTATGGAACCCAGGAACTCCCTGCATGAGAATCTGTACAATACCAGTAGTCTGAAATCATATGCCACTGATTTCCAGGCCTGTAAAATCTTTAATTTCCCTTCTTTTCCAGTCTGAATAAACCACAGGAATCACCATCATGTCTTACCTGCAAATTTTGTAGAACAGTCGTAGATTGACTTCTGCTCAGGAACTTCTGAAAACAAAGCAGATACACGTTTTCATTCTTAAATAAAAGATGCATGTGTGTTTATGAAGCCACTCTTACCATCAGCAGTCAGCATCACACCCCAGGCTTGTGCAATGTGCCGTAACAGAAGAGCGGTGATCCTGCGGTGGGCGATGGCGTTCCAGTGGACGCCGTCTTTGGTTCGATGTTGTAATGAGAAGCGGAACTGAAAGTGGAGGTCCAACACGTCTATCTCGTAGTTGTCGGCCAGAGTCCCACCGTAGAAGTTGGCTTCGATCACGTCGTAACGCAGCTGAGGAGCTTTGTGCTCAATCTGTGGTCACAGAAAAATCATGCACTTTTCCTTTCAGCTGAAAATATCAAGATAAAAAGCTAAACTTAACTCACCTCAGGCACCAGAAAGCCACCTTTGATCCTTTCTCCTAAGGGCATGGTGAGGTTCCAGATAATCAGCGTTTCCTCTGGTAGGGAACTCTTCAGCTCACCAAAGAACCTCTTAAGGTTCGCCTTGTAGTCATCGACCCACTTGGGATTGTATCTAAATAAATATAATACAAACATAACAGGCCTAACCAATTACAGCACAAAGATTAGGATCAAAAGCATAATAATCATTATGGTAAGTACTGGGCATTATAAATGTACTGGCCAACACGTTGCATTTCTAAAATGCAAATGCTTTCTGATTAGCTTTTTTTTTTGTTGCATTCAGGTTCATTTCGGACCTCATGCTAAACCATGACGCATATTCTTGACCCCAACTTTTTGGACCAATATTTAAACTTTGTTAAAGACATGATATCAGTACTTCTTGTACCCACCTTGAAATATCCCAGACACAAGAGTTCACAATGACCACGTCTGGTTTCAAGCCGTGACGGAAGTCCTCGATGATGCTCTGCATATATCTTGAGAAGATGCGGGTCACAAAGTAGAAGCGGATCAAGTGGTGGTCCGACTGATACTGACGCACCTCTGTATACTCCGTCCCATTATTCATTCTCTTCAGACAGCCTCCTTCCACCAAGCAATCCAGCTCAAAGCTCATCTCACCCTGCAGGGACAAAATGTCACGATTAACAGAGCTGATAACTTTAAAAGACGTCACAGAAATATTAGGTTTCATTTATTAGCAGATGAATATCTGATTATACATTTTAATATCTCCCATTTTTGTAAATTATGTCCACATGCCGCTTACCTTGCTCTTCAGCTGTCTTAAAGTGAGGTATCTGTCCTTTTGTACAAGTACCACAAGATCCTTATACACAGACCGCTGAACTGAATGGAAATATGTTCAATAAATTACAGAAAATAAACAAAGGGTAAAAAATATATTTAGATATAATAAGGAAGGGAGAAATTGCTCACTGGAGTCTCCCAAAATAACGATAAACTTGTTATGGAGGAGCAGGCGGGCCTGCTGGTGGGTCGCCGTCTCTTTCTGGCAATTAAAAGAATTTATGTATATATATATATATATATATATATAATGAAGTAAAGATGCAAAAATATACTTACCATTGTGTTTTGATATTTTCAAATTGAGCTAGGTTTAAAACTACCAAGCTTTCCTAAATTCACGACCGACGTCACTTTCTGAATGTTAGCCGTTAACTAAAAAGCTATTTATTTCCAAACCTTTTCCCCTCCTAAACCATTGAAACCACGAAAAACTCCTTTTTTTTTTAACTTAAACCCACTTTTAAAACGCAAAACACCCAAACAGCCACATCGCCGTGTCAGCTTTTAAAAAGTTAGCATAATTGTTCAACCGTGGCTGCCGTTAGTTCTACAGACACAGGTGACGCTGATTGGATGAGGCCTTTAATGACGGTCGGATATTTCTCTTCATACAGCGAGCCTCTGTATCACTTCAAAAATAAACTAAAATTACATCCGAAATAGTTCACCTAAAATGTGCGTCAAATACTAATTTATAAACTTAACAAAACTCTGTCACACGTATTTAAATTAACTGGTTTCCAAAAGTGATATTCTGTTGTCAAATTTTTACTCACACTTTCTTGTGGACACACAAATGCAACTAACAACAATTTTTTTTTTCAAACTTTTTGAAATTTATCTACACAAACAATGAGGTTTATGACTTGAAACTCAAATTAGATTTATTTTTTGGAAACAAAAAGTTTTTCTTACGTCAAGTCAGGGAGTACCTGACTACCTCCACTTGATCTACATCTTATATATTATGGAGACGTATTTTGTTTTCATTATCAGTGTGTGTTGAATTATGACTTTCTTTTAGAGCATTAAGTTGTGATCAGAACCAAGTATGTAAAATATTGAGTGAAGTCAAGTTGAATGAATCCAACTTCTGGCAGATTTAAAATCTAAATAACATAAAATAGGATATGCCACTGTGCACACACTGACAATGAGTGAAAGAAACATCAAGACGACATCAGGTACTAAATAGAAAACAAATTAGAGCCTTAAATAAAATGAAAAACAGCCTCTCTTTTTTCAAAGTAGTATTTTTATTTAATTGTTTATCATATTTTTAAATGTGACATAGACAGTTTATTTTTTTTTCCTCAGTGGAAGACATTATCATCTTCATCTTCATAATCTAGTACTTGAATCTGATCTTCTTTCTTTTCCTCCTCCTCTTCTTCGTCTTCTTCTGCGTTGCTTGTTGTCTTACTTTTACCTCTCTGGTGAAACTCCTGGTATATCCCTTTCAGTGCTTTTGCCGCCTCCAGGGACACTTTTAGACTCCCTATGACCTCCCTGTCTTCGTCCACACTCAAAACTGCAGAAAGGTGAAAGAAAAATTAGACATATTGAAAGTTTTAGGTTATTTAGAAAATGTAGAACACCTCTACCTAAATTAGGATTTTTCTTTTGTTTCTTAATTCAATTTTTTTTTTTGCATTAACATTCGTCTTATCTCTCAGTAGGACCGTACAATTTATCCCCTGAGCTAGTTAACAGAAAGGTGAAACTTTACTACGGTAACATTTACCTCAGAGCTGCAACACTTACTGTCAATCTGTTGTTCGAACACATCGTTTCCTGTGAGCAGCAGTTCCTGTAGGTCCAGGAAAGCATGTCCAACATCCACACACTCCTCTTCGTCGTCCATCGGCTCACTGACCACTGTGAACTTTAACCTGCCGTTACAAACAAACGTTGTCCAACAGGACAACGATTAAAAACACACCAAAAAATACTTCTGACGAAG